TGGGATATGTTGGGATCTCTCGCTGTATATCCCATTCATGAAGATGATGCACTCAATGATATTGAATAAAAAATATTATATATAGTGCTGAYAATATTGCAACCCAAGCATTGGAACATATTCACTCTAATGAAGTCATCATGACTACTGGAAAATCAAGAACAGTTGAAAAATTCTTAAAGGTTTGTGTACACCTAGAAAGTYGTCATGTTTTGAAAAAGTGAAGATATCATTAAATGACAATGTCATCATAAACTCAATACGAGCCAACGGCATTTGATGCTTTTGCTAAAACACAAACAAACCAAAAAAAAATGACCTGTTATTGATTGGTCGCTCTTAGGGGTGAAATTTCAGCGCTGCCACACCCATCATCTCACAATACAGGTCCCTTTTAGGGGTCATTTTCAGAATTTTATTAGAGAGTCCCCCCCTCTCTTCGGGCCCATTTGGTGTTATCTTAGATTATGTATCCTTCGAAATAAGTTTATAATATTTGTAAGCTTCAGATTGATTTTGCAATAATGTTATCAACATTTTATATTGTTTATTGAATTTAGAATGCCGCAAGGAAAAGAAAGTTTAATGTGATTGTAGTAGAAGGTGCYCCATTTTATAAAGTAAGAGAAATTTAAACATTTTTAGATATTATCCTGTCAAGATTGTACTAATATTTCCTATATGCAAATTTCAAATTGAATTGACCTAGAGTTCATTATGATGTCACATCAAAACATTTTATTGTTTTAACGCTAAGGATTATGGTCACCAGAAGGGATCAGAGTGACTGCATATCAAATAGAATGTACATGAACAATCATTTATACATGATATATATCAAAACACAATTCATTGAAGTTCTACTTAATTTAGTAGACAATATAAATGGGTCCAAATTTCCGCTGTTTTTGAGCATCGTTTCCCAATATAAAAGAATGATTAAAAAAATGTTTATATGCCTAAAAAAGTTCTCCACGACAAAAAGGATTTTGCCATGAACCTGAAAGACCACGTGACCTTRGCTCTTTTAGCAAGAGACAACACACATAACATTATTCTGTATAGGATAAAATTTGGCTGTGCAACAAAAATRCCAAAATAAACAAAATGTACAAAAAAGAATTAGTGTTGAACTGCTAAGATGAAAGAAAACATTTTGCCTATGAAAGCAAGAAAAAAATATAGTCATGTTAAAGCAGGGAGGGGGGTCTTAGTCAAAAAAATTTTTTTAACTGAAATCTACTGACGAATAATTGACAAATAATGCATTCCCATAAAATAACACAGGGAATCCACAAGTTACCATCTTTCTTGTGCTTTATCTTCTTAGTGTGCAAAACAATGCAAATTAAGAGGGATTTGGGAGATTAATTTAGCAGTCAAAAAGTATAATTAGGATTAAATTTTGGTGCCGCTCCACATTGTCAATGATTATATTATTAAAATGATTGAAATAAAGTGTATTCTAATTATGGATAAGGTACTTTTGCTGATGACTTTGCATATTTATTTTTACTAGGGTCAAGAACTAGCCAAGAGTTTGGCTGAGTCAGGCATTGAG